CGTGCTTATTCAATGGTGCATCATGGGTAGTCGATGACGCATCGTGCTTATTCAATGGTGCATCATGGGTAGTCGATGACGCACCGTGCTTATTCAATGGTGCATCATGGGAAGTCGGCGATGAATCTTGGTCAGTAGATAGTACATCATGGATAATGGACGATGGTAAATCTCATCGATATTCCTGTCGATGATCGATCACTATAACGTAATCATTTCTTCATCATCTCTTTCTGTCTGCCGCTCGTCGCCGTCATCATCACCGCCATTATTCGTTTCATCGTCTTCTTCATCATCACTGAACCCGAGAAGTAAAGCAGCATCATCTTCGTCTTCAACAGTTATCTTTAACAGATATAAGTTAGATATAGTCAGTATTCATCACATCATCATTATGAACATCACGTGAACATCACGCAGAAACCTACATGGGACTTGAAGCGTGTAGCGCCCGTACATTTCTTTAGTACCAAGCGTCGGAATATTCAAAGCTCATTAAAAATTCGAAATTGAACGTTATGACCATATTTGGAAAATTCCGCAGTTGGATAAGAGATATAAGGCCCGTTCTGGTTTAATTGAATTGTTCCAAAAAAAGGACTGAATGAGATGCAAATTAGATTTGAATGTTCCAACGGTTGGCACGGAGTTCCACGTTTCAAGTCCCTAGGTTTCTGCATCACGTTAACGATGATCTTCATTTATAGGTAGTATCTTAAATCATTGCAGAACCATTAGACCGCCGCGGCCTTGATATTATTTGGTCATAACGATTTACCTTCTGATATTTGTAGACAGCATTAGAACCACTGGTATTCTTGTTTCGTACTTTTCTGACATTTTCTCGTACAAAAAGAACCAAGGATTGTCTGGGAGAAAACATAAAGTCACTGTTGCTTAAATAATTTCAATTCCAATCCAGCAACGGACACTATTTCGTAAGAAATTGGCTTGAATTTGTCAGAGAAAATGTTGACTAACACTCATATCAATAACAATTTAGTAATATTTTAGATATTTAGGCTTGATATAAGACTAACTCACCTTCTTCGTCGGTTGTGCAGTACAAATACAGCAGCAGCAACGACAAGCAACACTGCTATCACAGCAAACGCGATTCCCGCCTTTTTGCCAGCAGATGATCCAGATGAATGAGGACTGGGGWGAGGATCAATGATAACACGGCTCCTGTTGATCGAATAAACCAACATGATCTATGATACAGTCATTACTGTCCGCTTTGCTGTGTTATTTTGTACGCTGAATTTTTTCCTTTTTTTCTTCCCGRGATATCGATAAGTAAACTTCTACTTGTCGCTCATTAAAACCGTTGAGACGTAGTGGACGGACGATATGTGAAGGTGAAATTAAGACAATAAAAATATGAGAAGATGGACAATGATTGTGCATATACTCAGGAAAGATCAGAGCAGCCATGAGGTAACAGCATTAACTATGCCCCCAGAAGTGAAAAAACGAAGAGGCAGACCGAAAACAACTTGGAGGAGGACAACTTGGGCAGAAGTGAGAACAGTTGTAACAGATCGAGGTGGAGAAGCGCAACGGAGGCCTTATGCACCACATGGTGCTAAGTGTACTGATAATGATGATATAGGAAAGCAGGATCAACTCATTCACTCTTGAACAAAGACCGGTTAAATAAATTAAGAACTTACTGGTCTTTTATACACACAATAGGAGTAGACCAGGTATATACATGGTGGCAACTCGTGGAATCGTACTCAAAGATAGGCTTTCCCTGAAAAATATACATGTTTTAGATACACTGAAAATCGTTGACATCAACACTCAGAAATATGAGTACTTTCCCATGTGCAGTTAAAGTGGTGGAGTTAAATCTACTCCAGAAAAGGAGTTATCAGGGACCTTTTTTCTTGAAGTTATATCAACTCCTTAAAAATAACAGTTCAGGCTTCTTACGTAAGTGAAAACGAAAGCATGGTATGTGACAGCGTGCAATGGTTCATGGGATGGCTGCGCACTTACCGAGCCTTTTATTGATTCGTCGCATTGAAAGTTAATAATGAACGTTTCTTTGCCTTGAGGAGATTGATCACATGGACGCTTGGCAGTAAACCACAGCTCAAAGATATTGTCTTGAATACAAAATACAATATAGTTAAACTAAAGCAATCGTAATCTCACAGTTCGTACACTAGATAGTATGTGTGACTGGTCGTCAATCAGTTTAAATACCTTCATAGTAAAGTTTGGGTGTGGRGTCATAGCCAATACCATTGTTGCACACCCATTTACCGGCACACAGTGTTTGCAGGTAATTACCCGGTAAAGGATCACAGATGCGAAATGCAAATGTATCGACTGTGATCGGGCTAAAAAAAGTTAGAAATTATTACAACATTGACATAGAATTATAAAGATTACAACTAAATTGTCTTCAGCTCTACAACATAACGGCCGTAGGTTTTTCTATTAAAATTAAAGTCACCAGTTTACATATTTTACAACGCCACATCACCACATCACCAATACATAACCGCAAGACCACACAAAACAGATTATTACAGAAACAACAGCAAGATGTAGTTCTTACCCATTGTCAAGTTTACTGAAGTCTACAGTTTMTCCCGTTAAAGGATGCTGGACGCGACAGTTGGGCATTGGAACCGCTTCTCGACTAAACATGAAAAAGTATGTAAACAGATTGTATTTCATACCTTACTTGGTCACCATTTTGTAAAAAGATATAAATTCGATTTGCGTGCTGCATAAACATTTTCATTCCCGTACCCAGATCTTTCTCAGTTTCCAAACAGAAAATCGATGGTTGGAGATGATACCGGGTCGTAGGATATGATGCAGGGGAATGTTTGAGCCAATCAAATCAAAGAATCATTCGTTTAAGGACCCAGTCTTTGATTTACCGTTTGGAAACTGAGAAGGATATGGGTATGATATATTTTAGATACTCCTAAATTACAACCCCAGTTATG